CAGCCGCTGCTGACGCTGAGGGTGTTGCGATGTCTTCCAGGACTGCTTGGTGTTTCGGAGCTCGCTCAGCCGATGGCCTGCCTGCTGGATAGACCCGAGGTGAGAACACGTGTCCTTCTCAGAGTGCTGTAGCCTGTCCCTCCAGATCCCTTTCCCATCAGATCTGAATACCGATCTTATGGTCGAAAAAGGAGGAAAAATAAAAATCAAACTGGTCTCGGCCTCTTTGCTGGTGCGGTCCTGCTCTGAGAGAGGCCGGTTGGAAGACAGTCTGCGTTGGCCGTGCTCCTTGGGGAGGGCTGGGCTGGGAGTGGATAAATGTCGGGCGTAGGGGGCAGAGACGCCGTGAAGATCCGCAGGCTGGGGATCACCTGGGCTGCGGCCGGCGCATTGACTCCTAGCGTACAGCCGCACGTCGACTTCAGATACTTACCCGGGGCTCTGTTTTTTTTTCAGGAATTACTCACTTAGTGGGAAAGGCCAAGAGCTTAATGAGCCCCTGTCCCTGCTGAAGGGATTCAGGTTTTCCTGTGGACCTGAACCGTGGGGAAGCTGTGACACAGAGCACGTGAGTGTCCTTTGTGGGTAACTGCCGTGTGTTTGGTGTTTGATGAGTGGGATCTCGCCAGGCCTGGAGGACAGAGGACGGTTCAAGCTGACTGTGCAAGTGGCCTGTCTCAATTGTGAGAACGATCAGCTTCATTAATAGGGTTTTTAATTGGGCAGCCTGTTACCTGTAGGGCAGAGTGTCGGTGAGATCAGTCACACCACACCGGCCCTCTGAGTGCAGCCTGGTCCGTGATGACTCCTCTCTTTGGAGACTGTTGGATGAATCCTGCGGATATGGGGCTGAGGCCAGGCTGGAGTCACCCCACGGTGCAGGGAGAGGGAGCGGCAGGGAATGCCTTCACCCGGGTGAAATCTGAAGCAATACCAAGTCAAACTGCTCTTCATTCACACTGCATTATTTTTTTTATCCCCTCTTTAGGTCTAAGCAGAGCATGGAGGTGAGATGAGCCCAGTCCCTGAGGGTTTCAGTGCTGCGGTGGAGACTGTTCTTTTCCAGCCCTCTCCAGGAGCGGCAGCTCTGTGTAACCGGATTCTGGCTCCTTCCTGAGCTGTGAGCTCCCCCAGGTGGGAACAGCCGCTCCGGCTGCTGCTCAAGCTCCTGTTTACCTGCTCGGCATGGAAGAATGGTCCCTTCTGCGGAGTTTTCTCAGCAGAGGAACTTGGATATAAAATATTTTGAGGGTGAATAAATGCAATCACTGGAAACTCTTTGCTGTGTGTCCTGTGCTGGGGGTGCGTTGGTCTGGGGGGCGCCTGACTGCCCTTACCCAGGGCTGGGGGTGACACTTGTGAAATACGAGCAACTTCCTCCACCTGAGGTCACCCATCCTTCAGGGTGAGGTTCTGTCGGTTCTCCCCTGGCTCTGCGGTGGGCCGGATCTCCGTGTGTGACTGGGATGGGCTTTTTTTCTGCTGGAAATCACTGTCTCTGACTGTTTTTTTTTCTGTGCAAGTTAGTGCTGCTCATAACACGGAGTTCCCACCCCAGGGAGCCGATGTGGGGGCACGTTGTACACCAGAGCTGCCTTCGCCAGCAGCAGCTCTTCTGCTTCCTTTCCCTTCAGCCACCGGAGCTGGCACAGCACCGTCCTGCTGGTCCCTCCCCTCCGCCACCCTGGGCACGGGGTCCCTGGAGCGCAGGAAAACCGCCTGGGAAGTGACGGAGGAGCACGGACCGGCTCCTGTCCTGGCAAAGGCAGTGCCTTACAATGCTGCCAACACTCGTTGCTGGAGCCCTGGGGACTCAAGTCGCTGTTTTTCTCATGATGGAGAACAAATTGGGGGTGAAAGCAGCCCCAGAGCTGTCCCGGGGGGCTGTTGTTCCCCGTCTCTGCACAGCCGTCAGGAAGGGGAGGGCTGAACGGTGGCAAAGTCCCCGTGACGGCTGTTTGCAGAGAGCACCTTTGTCCCGGGGACGCAGAGTGGGTGCTGCTGACCCCTCTTCCCTTCTCCCCTTGGGGCCACAGGAGCCCCTTTCCAGCCCTCGTCCATCCCAGCTCTCCCGGGATTTTGGCTTCCTCAGAGGCAGCGTGTTTGTACAGCCGCAGCGTGGCTGTCCCCAGCTTTGTCACCAAACCCAAGCGGCGGGACAGACTGGCATGTGACAACACCAAACGCAGCGTCCCCGGGGACGGGAGGACAAGGATGGGGCTGGCGGCTTCTCTCTCCTCCCCAGGATGGTTTGTTTGTCCACCCCGGGGAAGGTGCTGCGGGGTGGGGACAAGGGTGGGGACCTGTCCCCAGCCCTGCCAGCACAGCAAAGCCCGGTCGGGTCAGGATCCGGCCACCCTGGGGCCGCTCAATCCGTCCTCTCCGAGCACAGCCACCGGCATGGGGACGGTGACGGGGCCCCCCCAGGACCCC